GGTTGGTGGGTTCTCACATGACAGTTCTGCTGCCAGGCTGGCCAGGAGCAAAGTAGGAACAAAGGGCTGTGGCCTGAACCCTCTCCACCCAGCTCAGCTGCAGCCCAAGGAGGAGGCACACCAGCAGGCATAAGGAGCACTGCTGCATGGCCCAGAAGTCTGCCAAGGGCAACAGCTCTACTCCCAGAACAGAAGAGAACAACCTGCTCTGCTCAGCTGGCATCACACATTGTGAGCAGCAGAGAGCAGCTGTCCTGTGGGCTCTTGACACCTGAGGATCAGTGTGTAACCTCTGGAAGATGATCTTGCTCAAGACAGCACCTAAGCCAAGCTTGTACATTTCTGAAACACCCTTGCCTAGCCCTGCTCCTCGCTGATCTGGCACTACATGCTCGGGCAAAGCTCAATTGCCCTTTGGTACCATGTAGTGTACCAGAAGGGCTGCTCTGTGGCCTCTTTCAGGGCTCAACAGTGTCAGCACAGGTAGAACCAAACCCACCTGCTCTGCCCATCAGAGGAACTCCAGCTTGGGAAGCTGATGATCTGCCCTTTCTTTGCCTTTTTAAAGAGAGCAGTTCTGAGAACCTGAGAGCTTGGCCTGTGGCAAGAAGAGGCTTTGTGGAGGAGGATGGAGGAGGCAAGAGGGAGTGTGAGGGAGGCAGGAGGGGCTGCATCTCCTTGCAGTGGTCCCCAGCTACCGGTTTCCATCTTGGTGACATTTAGGGTGATTTTTTAAGAGGTGCTGCAAAAGGTAAGCACAGAAGAGCTGGGCTGCTGGTGTCAAAGGCACATGTGTCCTGGAAAAGAATGGAGACTGGTGGATGTGAACAGGTAGTCATGGGTCCTGGTGTCAAACCAAAAGCAAGGTCCAGATGAGGGTCTGGCAGGACAGCCAGAAAAAAGGCCAAAAGAGGCAGCTTGGTCCTTGGGTCTGATTTCGTATTTATTGCCAGTTTTTCAACATCTTCCAGTGGAGGATCAAAGAGCAGAGCAGCCTGAGGGGCAGCCTCCATCCACCTCTAAGGTGACAGGCAGAGGCATCCCTCCTATTGTGTGATCACGACTGACACAACAGTTTGGGCTCCCTGCACATGGCCCTGTGCCAGGTTCCCATCCTCCTCTTCAGACATACCTTCCAATGCCCCTTTGCCATCCAGAAAGGGATGATGACTTAAGGAAACAGGAGGAAAATTAGGACAACTCCAGAGATGGGCAGGAAGAGGCACAGCTTTCAAAGGGAACAGGATTTGGGAGAAGAGAGGCAGGGAAATCTTTGAGGTTCCCCATCAGGAAGCAAGGGTGTGTCGCTGGCATAGGGCAGCCTGGAAGTTCCCAACTTTATTTGCTTATGGTGTGTAACCTCCCCTGAGTGGAGCTCAGAGAAGTGTGATGACTTGCATGGATCCAGGCCAGAGCTGAGTTGGTACAGGCTGCCACGGGACCAAAACTGGAGCTGACCCAGCTGTCCCTGGAGGTCTGGGGCAAGGGGACCTGGGCAGAACAAAGTGATGACCCAGCTTGGATTTCGTTGTGACTGAACTTGTAACAGAAAGGGTTCTGTCTGGTTTGATACAAAGTTCAGGCTTCAATGGGTGAAAAATAGGAAGAGGTTTGTGTTCAGGGGCCAGAAAGATTGAGAGGAGTTTTGGGGATGGTCACTGGAGGAGATGGGAAGAGCCATGGAGGAGTGAACAGGAGACGGGCTAGAAGGGTATCAGTGGGACTGGAATAGATGAGGGCAACGGGATAGATGAGGTTTGGGGTATTTTCTTCTCTCACTATTACCTCCTCTGCTACTTCTTTGGAGGACCCTAGCAGATCTCCCTGGATGAAGAGCTCAGTGAAGTGCTGGTGCCCTGCAGCAATGCTCCTGGTAGTCCTGCACAAGTAAAGCAGATGCTTCACAGCAACTCATAAGGACGTGTTTTTCTAAAACAGTAAATTGAAGCAGTCTTGGAGACAGAGCACTTGTGCAAAGATTTGCTAAGGCTTAGCTTGTCAGCAGCCAGTTCCCATTCCTGGCTGGCTCAGAGGCTTTTCCATGTGCTCCCGTGAGCACCACCGCTTCGTCAAAATTAGCATGAGAATCCTTTTTCCATCCTCTTTCTACTCTCTTTAGAAGCAAGGTTAATCTTGGTAAATGCACTTCTTAAGGGCTCTAATCCAGTGGACCTTTGATTTTGTTTAGATTTCAAGACACTACTAATACACATGCCAAATTTATTTCTCTGAACAAAGCATCTTCTCTCCTCCTTTGAAGTCCAAAATGAGCAGCTGTTGTGTCTGCTCTGAACAGCTATGGGCATATGTAAGAGATGTGATTACTTTCATTTAGGGCTGTCTGTAGAGATTCTCTACAATTGTGACTGTCAGATGGATACTTGAAGGAGTGTCAGGCCTTCTAAATATATCTGTGTTTTTGCTCAGATTCCTGACAGGGCTCTGAAGACACTTTGTGGGGGACTACAAACGCTGCTGAGCTCATGATTGCCTCTGATCTGTTTGAGTGGTACCTCTTTAAGTAACACAAAAGGAGATAAAGTTGTATGTGCTATTAAATCTTACCTCTGTTAATGAGTAAAGAAATGTAAACAAGGTTGTTTGGGTATTGTGGGTGACATTCACCTTTCCGACCAGCCTTTGCTGGTGTGTACCCAAAATTAACTAAAGAATTGCAGTGGCCATGGAGAACAGTTCTATGTAGTCCCAAATATTAGTTTTCAGTGGCTGTCCTGGCAGTTTAAACATTGTGGCCGCTGCAGAAAAGTAGCCAATGGTGTGCTTTCTGAGCTGAGTTAGAAAGATAACTTCAATTTTTTCTATACTTTCTCTGCAAGATTTATCTTCATAAATCTTGGGAATTGCCTGCCTGAAAGCCAACTTCCCAATGCCTGAGGCATCTTGGCATCTCCAGGCTAGTCACTGGCACGGCACTGCTTGAAAACCCTGTGAGACCTGTACTGTAAATGGGCTGCACATCAGGGAGGGTTGTGCTGGCAGCTCATAAGAAGTTTAAACACTCTGTGGGTCTTCTTGTGGCAGTCTGCAGGGAGATGAGGGTTTCTGGGACCATCACACTCTCTTGTCCCCTCCTGCTGCTGCTGGCAGAGCTCATGGTGCTGATTACACCTGAGCGTTTCTCCATTGGCCCATGAGGGCCATGAGTAGGATTCTGAACAGATGAGAAAAAATCCTAGTTAGTACAAAATCCGGGCGATATTAGGGCCAGACCTGGCTGTTGAGTTATGTCTGACTTTAGCCCTGCCATGTTGACAGCTGCTGTGAGGGCTATCATGTTGGCATGGAAGCGTAGGCTCTTGCAACAATAGACCCTGATCTTTGGAAGAGGAGCCTAATCCTTCTGTTTTATCTCCCCTCTTCCCTCCCCATTTGCTTATCAGCACATGTAATGAGTAAGTTACTTTTGCTAGGACCCAGGGCAGAAAGTCTTTCTGAAGCCCTTGCCTGGGCTGTCTGGCCCCACGATGCTGGCCTAGGGTAGCATTTGCTCAGACTGTCATACCCGGGGCAGATGCTTTCCAGGATTAAAACTGGTAATGCACAGTGACTTTCCTGAGCTGTCACACCTCTGTTGAGCCTGAGGACCAGCCTGTGGCACATCCCTCGTGGTGCTGTGGCTGCTGATCTGCTGGGCTCTGGGGACAGATGGCCACGAGTAAGGGCAGGGAGCAGGCACCTGGCTCAGACACCTTCCTGGCACAAGTGTGTCCCTATGCACATGTTGGGAATCACTGATCCAGGACAGGCACGTGGATTTCGGCTCTGCTTTCACCCCCCAGTGCACTCAGAGATGGTTTGGCTTCAAACGGCCTCAGAGAGGGACTAGCCAAGGTGATTCTGGCCGTTTGCACCTTTGAGCTGTTTATCCCTTCCCGGGTTATGATAAGATATTACTGTTACTGGTTTGGAGGAGCCAGTTCTGATATGGCAGAGGGGAAGTATTTACCACATGGCATGGTTTGGAGCTTCCCTGTGCAAGTGCCAGGGCTGGGCACAGAGGCTTTCACTCACCGTCAGACGGCAGAGCCAGCTCGTGGGATACGTGTAACAAGCGCCAGCACTGAAGCCCTGACTAACGCTCCACATTTACCCCTGCAAACATTTGTGCTTTGATGGGACGTGTGTGTATCACTGTAGAGCGCTGATGATGCTGGTGGGGCTGTGACTGTGGGCTGTGTTTTGTGTGGAGGGGGATGGATGTGATGTTTGCAGAAGGAAAGCCAAAGGGCACTGATCCGGGGAGGGATTCAGAGATGCAGTGTGTGGTTTGGGGACTGCAGCTCAGCCGGGTACGAATTGGGAAACTTGTGACCAGTGGGGTGGGTATGTCCTTTGAGGGCATAATTATTTCTAAAGTGGAATTGTTTCCAGGTGTGGCTATAGCTCGGCCAGACTATGCAGCTCCGTAGTGCAAATGGCACACAATGCCAGGGAGTTCACTCCATCACTGCCCTGGGGTATGGGATGTTACACCCTAAGGCACACCTTATACCCTTTGAGGTGTATGATCAGCTGCTCCTCTATTGTGGCCCCGTGTGTGTCCCACTTTGCAATCACCATAGCCTCTGCTCATCCCCCTCTCACATTCCTAGCCCCTCCACAGCACGGTTTTTGCCTGAATTTTATCACCTCTTCGTGTGAAACAAGACCAGCCCGTGCAAGAGCTCCGAGTCTGGTTGTGTGGTCGATCGGGGGGTCCCATGCCCTCCACTAATACCATCTCCTCTGTGCCCACCCTGCAGCAGGCGGGGGCTGTTCCCCGGGGGTGTGTGCGGGTACGGGACGGGGCTGGAGGGGGGCAATCCGTAACATTCCGCCCCCGCCCCGCTGCCCGGGGTGTGCGCAGGGGGTGTTGCTCTGCGCGGGGGCCGGGGCTGGTGGCGGGTGGCGGGGCGGGTGCGGGGCAGTGGGCGGTGCGGAGCCGGGGCCGGGGGCGGTGCGGGTCCGGGTGCGGGGCCGGGCAGGGCGCACGGCGGGGGATGGCGGCGGCGGAGCTGCAGGAGCTGCGGGCGCTGGTGGAGCGGGCGGGCGGGCGGCGGGCGGTGCTGCTGGTGGCCGAGGTGGCCGAGGGAGCCCCGGCGGCGCCCGCGATGGCCGCCTTTGCCCGCGACCTCCTGGGCGACGAGGCGCCGCCCGCACCGTGCCCGGTGCCGGGGTGCCGGTCGCGGCGGCGGCGGGCGGGCGGCGGGCGGCGGAGAGCGCTGGAAGCGCGGCTGCTGCTGGTGCTGAGCGGGGCGGTGCGGGGCCGCGGGGCCCGGGCCCGCCTGCGGGAGGTGGTGCGGGACGTGCGGGGCCGCCTGCCCGCGGCGCCGCCGCCCGCCGTCGTGGGCGTCCTGCTGCCCGGCGGGGACGGCGAGGACGCGGCCGTGCTGGACGCGGCGCTGCGGCGGCACTTCCCGGCGCCCGGCACGGTGCAGGCGGCCCGGTACAGCCCCGGCTGCCCCGGCGAGTGCCGCGCCGCCGCCTGCCGCGCCCTGCGGGCCGCCCTACAGCACCCCGCAGGTACCGACCGGGACGGGGGGGAACACCGGGCGCCCGGGCCGACCCTTCCTCCTTCTCACCCTGGGGATTTTATAGCGGGATTTCCTCCGTTTTCCTGCGGAATCTTCCCCTCCTCGGTGGGATCTACCTCATCCTAGTGGGGTAGATCCCATCTTCTGATGGGATCTCCCCCTCAATGGGATCTGGCTTTTCCCATCGGGATCTGACCATTCCTGATGGGGTCTTTCTCCAATGAGACCTCTTTCATGTTAGCGGGATCTGAGCTTTCCCAGTGGGATCTGTCGCTTTTTGGTGAGGTTCCCAGTTCTAGCAGCTGGACAAATATCCCAGCAGTTTGGGAAGTACTGGGAGCAGCTCACGGATAACAGGGATGTGGCAGGTGACAGTTGTGACATTCTGGCCATCCATGACATGGTGGCCTTCCATGCTTGTTCCACGTGTGTTCTTGAGGGATGCAGGATTGGGTGTGGCCCATGCTGTAGGGTGCAGGCAGGACCTGACCTTCCTGCAGGAGGAAGATGCTTATGCTGATTTTACAAAACGAATAAGTGAGAACAGCAAGTCACTGTTTGGGTGTAAAACCATATGTCAAGGTGAGGACGGCAGGATGAAAGCTGGGTGTCAGTCAGGCCTGAGGAACAGCACTTGTTCTGAGGCGAAAGGTGAGTCATGTTTGTGTGCCACTGCAGGGTGATGGGCAGCTGGGCAGGCTCTGTCACAGATGCCACGCAAAACACCTTAATCTTTGGCACCGATTGTCTTGGGCTGTTTCCCTTTCATCCTCTCTTCTTATGTTTTTTCCCCACTTTTCCCTTGCTCCCCAGCATTTCCAGGGGCTCGAGTGTTTCTGCTGTCTTGCTGCCTTTACCGTAATGGGTCCTGGCACTTGCCTTCAGCATCACATTGACAGGGTCCTCTGGGATCCCTGGGACATCGGGATAGTTGGCTGCAGATAGTTCAGGTGCTTTTTTCCATCAGCTCAGCCCAGAATCTTGGATCTGAACATCGAGAAACTTTGAGATGGCGAGGACCCATTGTGACGGCACAGGGCTATCTTCTGCCAGCTCTGTAACTGAGGCATGCACAATCTGCTTTCCAACTTCTCTCCTTTTGCAAGTTTTTGTCTTCCTCACATTGTTGCTGCTGCAAGAATTTCTGGTGTGCTCTCAGACATCAGTGAGTCCTCCAGTTCTGGTCACAGCAGCCTGGTGGGACATCAGCTGCAGATGCAGAAAAGCATCCCTGCATACATGACCTTTTTCTACCTTGGCACGCTGCTGGTGCTTGGCTCAGTATATGTAGCTGTGGAGAACGAGGAGCAGGAGGAGCTGGATTGGGTGTTGCAGCCTGTTTGTGTGTGCTTTATAACTGTGGTGGGTAGGAGGACTCAGCTTTAATTCAGTTCTGGTGCTCTGCCTGGTGCTCTGAGTCATGTAAGTGTCCCAGGACCTGCATGTGTAATGAGGACACTCATCAGCTCTAGGGTTCAACCTTAGGCAGGGACAGCTTCTTTCCATGCTCCTGTGAGTCCTGCCTTCCAAAATCTCCATGTGGACAGAGGGATCCCAAGCATAGCCATGCCTCTAAAGAGCCATGCCAGGCAGTGCACTAGAGCTTTTGTTTTGTTGACTGGCAGGAAGGATTGTCACTGTGAACCCTTTAGTGTCGCAATAGTTTGATAAGCTGAAGGACGCTGAATTTGTTATCATTTGTTATCTGATTAGGAGATGAAAGGCTCAATGGAGATGCTGAACTGCTGCTGTTGGAGACCATAAAAATTACACTGCTGTAGTATTTTATAAGCTGCTGTAGTGTTTTATTATAATGGCTTGAAAATCTGTAGTAACTTTGTTGTCTTCCAGAATAAATACATCGACCACAGGCTCTCTACAATTTGCTGCAGTTTTCAGTGTGCTGCAAGCCTGTGTGTGTTCAGGGAATTGCTTAATAAAGCAGGGAACAGTAAATAGGTTGATGGTGCAGAAGCTGTGTGATAATGCAAAAGAAAATCTTCCTTCTGTGGGAATTCCCTCAGCATGTCAGTTCCCAGCCTCGCCACGTGTGCTGGCTGAGCTCCTGCCAGGTTTCTTGCTAGCTCTGGGCTGCTGCCTCCAGAATGGTTTTGGCAGTGAGGTAGCAAAGTAGAAACTGACACTGGAGACAAATTTCCAGGATAGAAGAGAGGTTTCAGCCAGAAATAAGGATTGTCAGGAACTGCTCTGTGCTTTCCACGGGTGGCTCTGTGGTGTGGACCTGGTTTTGCTGTGAGAAATTGGGCTTGTGGAGGGGAAGTGGGGCAGCAGCAGGACTGACCTGCTACCAGTTTGAACTCACCTTCTCTCATTTATTCAGAAGAGGGGAAAGACAGGGAGAGGTGGAGGCTACCATCCTTCCTGCGGTGCATTTCTTGGAAACAGAGGAGCTGGAGAAAAGATCACAAAGCGAAAGCTGCAAACAATATTCATGAAGGTATGCCCTGCTCCCTCCCTTGTACTCTGCTGTGACCATCAGGGGTTCCTCACCGACTCCCTGGTGCCCAAACCCCTTGCTGGTGGCCTCCTTCAGCTATTTCCAGCTCTGCAGTTGGCCTCTCTTCCCTGGCTGTGGTTCGGCCCAAACCTGAAGACAACCAGCACACATCTGTCTTTTGTGTTGCTGTCTCCCTGTTTTCTGATCTTTCGCTTGCCTAAACAAAGCCATGCTGGGTCCAGTGCCCAAATATACCCCTGGAAGCACTGCTGAACTCAGGTGCCTTTTGCTGGACTTTCTGGCAGCAGAACTACTGTCTGGCTAAACAATGAATTAGAAGTATCCCCCTGATGTTACATGGTGTTTCCTGCAAACGCAGCTGGAAGGAGTGTTCAAACCACTTTCCTTTGGGGCTGGCAGAGAGAAGGGAGAGGACAATCAGCCTTGGGCTCCCTGATTCTAAAGGAAATTGTTCAGATAACAAATAGTCTTGTGTTCAGCCTTTGTGCACAGTTGGCACTTCTGGTTGCCTTTCCCAGCAGTGATTTTCTTTCTGCAGAAGTGCCTCATGCAGGTGCCTACAAGGTGTGTAGTGTGGAGATCCAGATTGTTCTATGAAGCACAAAGAGGAGGGAAAGCTCCTTTGCTATAAAAAGAATAGAATATATCTTCAGTTGAAAGGGACCTATGATGATCATCTAGTCCAACTGCCTGACCACTTTGGGCCTTGCAAAACATTAAAAGATTTTATTAAGGATATTGTCCAAATGCCTCTTAAACACATAAAATGCTTAAAGTGCATAGGAGTTTGGAGAAAACAACTGAAATGCCCACTTCGTGTAGCTTTGAGACAGGTCTTTCAGGGTCAGAAGAGTGCCTGATCTTGCTGTCAGTGCCAGGCAAGTGGTGCCTTGTGGCCGTGCAACTTGTTCTGAGCTTGCTGAGACTTCAGGAGGCCAGGAGCTGGACCCTGTGCTCCTTTGCTCTATTCGCTGAAGTAATGTTGAGTTCATAAAACAAAATGAAATTCAGTTACGAAAAAAAGTCAGCTGTGCTTAGGCTATGAGTATACATCAACTGCTTCATTCCATGCTTTCTTTTCATCTTCTATATTTTGTATGAAGAAGGGTTTTTCATTCAGATCTCCCCTGACCTCTCTCTGCTCTTTGTAGATGGCCTGCAGGACCCTGAGGAAGGAGTGGCTCTGACCAGCCTGTCCCCCAATGGAAACTGTGAAGAAGCTGCTGGAGGCACAGGCACCTAGAGCTGCTGGGCACCCAGCACAGTCCACATCCCAGATCTGCCCGGTGGATTTGGAGCAGTGGGAGGAGGAGATGGTGCAATGCTCACTCACCCTCTCCTCCAAGGACCCACCACTCTGTGGAGAAGCTGCTCAGCTGAACTCCTCAGGGTCTTCTGGAGCTGCCAACAGCCTCTGGGGTTTGTGCCAGAGAGCCATTCCCTGCTGTGCCTGGAGCTGCTGCTGGACACTGCGCTTCTGAGAAGGCCTTTGGGGGTGTATCCCATATCCTGGGCAAGATAACATTGGGAATTTGAGCATGAAATGCAGCCACTTGTTTGAAGAATGAGGAGCATTTTCTAATTCTGAGCAAAGTTCCCTGCTGAGGCTGCCAGGGCTGGCCTCCCTGGCAGACCAATTCTGCTGCCTTGTTTTCCTGCTTTATTGGTGCTTTGAAGTTCCCACTCTCTTTGTGATCGAGCCAAAAAAAAAAAAAAAAAGGACAAGTGACAGTGGTGTGGAGAGACTGCAGTGGGACTAAATGAGGTCCTGGATCTACCAGCTACTGAAAAGGCTTGAGTGTAACTGTGTAAAGTGAAGAATGGAGTAACAGCCCACTGTGGGTAGCAGGAATAACATAAAAGATATTGATAATAATGGCAGCTTGAGCAGAGTGTGATTTGGGAGCAGGATTCCTCTGGCTTGTCCTAGTGCTCACAGACTGGCTGATGGACTGCCTGGGTTGGAGGGGTGGCAGATGGGCAGTAAGGTGTGGCTGGTGTTAGATGGGGCTATGGGA